TCAAGTCAAATACGGTATTTTAAGCAAAAACACATGTTCAAGAATGTTGGGGACCTTTTTTTTATTCAAATGAACTCAATCGTAAAGAAACGTGTCTATATTTTTAACGACGTTTCTGAATGCGACTGAGATGAATCATGAATACAGTCGTGACAACACCTTTCAAGTGGGGCGTTGTGAAAACCCGGAATATGGCGGAATATCACGGAATATGCCGGAATATCACGACATTTCCCCGGAATATACCGGAACATCACAATATTTTACAATGGTAGCCATGCGACTGTTTATAAACATGGACGTCTGACAACATATTTTATTACAAAAGTGATGGATTTTGACAGTAAGCAACAAATAATAACTCTATACTGGAAGTTTTCTATGTTGTTTATGTCATTATTACGAGTGTTCACTAAAACTTTTGAATCAATATGATTAATTCCTCCTGATTTATAGCCTGGGTCGCAGACGGTGGGTGAAACTTTGGGGCGTCTTGAAAAATAAAAGTGCTGACGTCAGCATTATTTTCAAACGCCTTCAGAACTGTGTTAAACCTAGTTTCCATTTGGTCGTTAGTTGTCGCTGGTACGACAAGTAGCTGATGTAATAGGGTGTCAAGAAAAAACTCTGCAATCATTAAGACTAATTTGTGTATCACACAAAAAGACTATTATTATATTAGACAATTTCACATCTACCTTGAGACTTCTTACCTGATACAAACAACTGGCTCAAACTTGCCTTTATTTTAGAATCGGATTGTTGAATAAATGCTTGGTGGTATAAAATTGTCAATTTTAACTAAATTTTGTGTATGACATAGTTCGAAAATAATGCTGACGTCAGCACTTTTGTCTTTAAGGCCTTCAAGGTACTGTAACTCAAGAGGAATTAATCATATTGATTCAAAATTTTTGGTGAACACTCGCAATAATGATATAAACAACCGATATAAACTTCCAGTATAGAGTCATTGTTTGTTACTTATACCGTCAACATGGGAAAGATCCATCACTTTTGTAATAAAATATGTTGTCAGACGTCCATGTTTATAACAGTCGCATGGCTACCATCGGTAAATATTGTGATGTCCCGCTATATACGCCGGGAAAATGTCGTGATATTCCGTAATATTCCCCCATATTCCGTGATATTCCGGCATTCCGGGTTTTCAAATGGGAATTTCTGATAGATATCGGTGAATTATACCATAAGTTAACACATGAGGAATGAAGAAATTGGTCATGAACATTATTGTTTTGGAAATGGTGAATTTTAATATCAATACTCATATCACCTCATATCTGTTTCTATCAACGCAAACAAATTGTGTCGCTTGTGGGATTTGTTAAAGGAACAAATGATTCAAAATGGTAGAAAAAATAGCAGGTGCGTTGTAGTGACCTTATTTATGTTAATGTGGGCGCTTTAATAAATGCAATGCTTTGTGAGAATATACATACCATCCCATCCTAGCTTGTGTAATATGTTCCATATTAAAGTCATAGTCATGATTAATTATCACTCTTCTGAGAAGACCTCAATGGTGTTTTAATCCAAAGAAGCAGATTAAAATTAGTTAATAAATTTGAAAGAAATTGAAAGTTGTAAAATAATGTATCTCATTTCTATGCTTTTTAGATCCTATAGAGACAGTATAAAGTGAAGATGGAACGATGCTGTAAACAGTTACTTTCAGTTGCATGTCTAAAATATGCATTGTATTGCATTGCATTGTGTAAAAACAATTTAATTGTAAAGGGTCTCTAGTATTATAGGATCTGTGTGAAATCTATCAGCCTAATCACAAAAAAATGTATTGGTTATAAAACATTGTTTGTTGACTGAATACTGCAACCTGCTGAGATCATTTTAGCTTTGTCTTTTCTTCATGGAGTAAATCAGGCTTTTAGGTTTCAAGAAATTGTGACATTGTTATATGTTCTGCCCTCAATAATACAGATCAATTAATAAACAGCATAATATGTATATTTTATGAGACTGACTGCTGCCTTGACACACCTACACACATTACAATTGCATTAAAATACACTACAGTACTGCTTACAAACTTTTACTTTAGTCATTTTACAGTAACAGAAAGACAAAACTATTAAGAAACAAATGAATTGAGGGGCCGACCATTTAACTTTTGAGGGGGGTGGGTGATTTACTGCTGGCAGGGAATTTTTTTTTCTGGGATCGTTATGTGCAAGTTTTTTTCTTCTATCCCATCACCATGTACGATTTTTTTTTGACCACTCTTTCTTTTGCAGCATTTTTTTTCAATAGCTTATACTATTTAGATTCTTTAATTATAGTTAACATTGAGTTTTCTAGCTTCATGCATTGCTTTTAATAATACATATTGCTATGAGGTATAACATTTGGTTCAGGACCTCTTTTAAGGCAGGGCCATAGGAAGCTCTTTTTGATTCGGGGGGCTGAAAGCGAGGGCCGAAGGACTGAGGAAATTTTTAAATGTAAAATCTCTGAAATGCCATTTCCTGGACTTTGGGGGTAGATTTGACAGAATTCTGATGGTCAGAAACCAGCGTTTTAGTATGTTGAAATTTACAATTTAGTAGCACTAAATGGACAAAGGCGTATTTAACTATATATTGGATAAGTTGCAGGAAAGTATGGGTAATATCTTCATTCTTTGCAGTTTGTCATGGATTAAATGATAAAGGTCTGCATGATTTTGAAAAAAGAAAGATTATTAGCAAATTATTTGGGGGGGGGGGGCTGCAGCCCCCCCCATTCCCCTCGGTTGCTACGGCCCTGTAAGGATGTGTAACTGGAGGGGACATATTTAGCGGGGGGACATATTTAAAATTTTGGATTTCTTGAAGCTCAGATAAGCTATTTCCAGCACTTTGAGGAGTTTTCCAACAAGAAATTAACCTTACACTAGTCCCTGGAAATCAAACCAGCTGATCTTCTGTGACTGGTCAAATCGATCCCTGCAACCATGCTGTTTTGCAACATTTTTTTTCCTACCAAATAATGGGGCAGGATATTTTTTCCCTCAGTTTGTTAGTGCAGGTATTTTTTTGTTGTTCAGAATAGCCATGTAGGAAATTTTTTTTCAAAATCATTCCCCCCCCCCTCAAAAGTTAAATGAATAATAAATTATTTGAATTGAGCCAAACAAATTTCAATAAATGCCTCAAACAAAATCAAACAAGTTCAAAGCTGTTTTGATTTTTGAAGAAACTGTGGCAATGAGAACACAAGATCTAGAGCTTAAGAAATGAAAAATACATGGGCAACCGAGTGTTCGCTCCAACGTTCTTCATTGTTGGTATGAATATGAAATTCGTTGTTTAATTTCTTTCCTGTTTCAAGTGAAATCAGCGAGCGAGGAAGACGCCTTATTGAAGCTTTGTGTTATTGTATGTACTATTTTGGAGAAAAATATGCAAATAGGTTGTCATATTTCGGTCGTACTTAAAGACCAATTAATTTTGAAAATTGTTTAGGATAAGAACCTTTCTTTAATTTGTCGTATTTTTTCGGCTGTTTTGCTCAAGTGTTTATATGAAAGTCTGGCTATTTCACGAAACACTACAACCAAAATATGGCAACCTGTTTGGCCGTTTTTTGTTAAAAATAGTGGATACACAAGCTTCATAAGGCGCTCTCCTCGGTTTGCAACAGGTCTGTCGCAAGGCCTGTTAAAAACAGCATTGCTGCAGCTCTGTCACAACTTGCGTCAGGCCTGTTGAAAACAGCATTGCTGCAGCTCTGTCACAACAAGCTTGTAACAGACCTGTTGACAGGCCGTTGCGGACCTGTCAGAACAGACAGGTACAAGGCTGCGTCAGGCCTGTTGAAAACAGCATTGCTGCAGCTCTGTCACAACAGCTTGTAACAGACCTGTTGACAGGCCGTTGCGGACCTGTCAGAACAGACAGGTACAAGGCGAGCGAACGCATCCAGATATCGGCTTGTTCACAACAGGTTTTAACAGATCTGTCCCGACTTGCGCGAAATTGGCTGTGTAAGAGGAAATTACTTTTTTGTAGATTCAAATTAATTAAATACGTTTTAGTTTAATTAAAACACTGACATATATTGGAAACTTTGGGGAGCCTCCTTAAAACTATAAGATTGTCTAAAACCGCCTTTTATCGAATTGTCGGTAAACATTGAGTTTGAAATAAACTGATTTCAAATTCTCGCATGAAAATAACTTTGCTTTCCTCTTTATTTAAATATTTTGATATACAAAAGAAAGGATAATTGATAAAAATACACTGAAATTATATGCTGTCTTTTTTCCACTTATATACGCAACGACCGTGTTAATTTTCTAAGCAATTCAAACAAACAATACATCAATATTAAAAACAAACTTACCTTCATTAACGTCGGCGACTTTGCACATTCTTTTAGACGTTTTTAGACTTTTTTGGCTCTCAGAAAGGTTTTGAAATTTACAAAATCTTGCAAAAATACAACTTGCAAGAAATGTTCGTTATTTCGCTGTCGTCATGCAGCCGTTATAATGCAAATTGCAATTTTGACTAATCAGTGTTCACTATTCACGACAGTCCGGTGGTACATATTTTGAGATCAATGAGGATGACCACCCATGAACGGTGAGCCATGCACCCGCGATATTTGATAAACTTTAGTTATTACCTCATACCACTTGTGAATTAAGTGCAATAAGGCCAAAGATGTTGACGAATTTCGAATACCCCCAAACTGTGACGCCGAGATTTTGCCATGTATATCTTCATTCATCCAATTGATCGACAACAAAGGATTCTTGTATTTTCGATAGGACACTAGTGGCTATCGGTCTAAGATTGTCTACAGTTGAACAAGGTGTACTTTTGGGAATGCCTTTTAATTTATATTCTTTCCATATTTTGGCAAAGTACTTTCCTCTAAACGAAACGTTAAATATCTCCGTCAATGGAACTGACAAGACATATGCAAATAACATCTCCATTTGTGTCACCACCATATCCCAATGATCTTCCGGAAAACTACTTGGAATACACATGGATGATATAGCATTTGTTGGAATAAACACATCTCTGCCGTCATAAAGAGATTCAACACCAAACTAGAACTAGTTAAACGAGCTAAACCCGCAACAGTTTGGCCAAGCCAACACTCGAATATTGTTGCAGGGTGTGGGGTAACTGTCTGCAGATTCACTTAGCCAATATATTTAACATCTGCCCAAAAAAGAGCTGCAAGAATTGTAAACGCGGACTACGCCACTCCATCCTTAACTCCTATTCCAAATCATATCCCTGTAGACGATACCATGCACCCGCTATTATATTTGCGTTTTCACGCGTTTGCATGGTTTCCTCATCTGAATCACTCTCTTCTCTGACGACATCATCTGCATCGGTGTGGGTGCACACTCAGAGTAACATCACAAACATCATATTCACCTGAGTACATAACACCAACACAAACAAAATAATCTGCGTTTAGTTTCCCCCAATTGTACTTCGGCTCAATTACTCTCCTCCACATCAGTGTCATATGGGAACCATGATTTTGGGAACCAGTTTGTCCGGTCGGCCCAATAACTCATCATCTGAATTATTCTCTTCTACAATAACATCATGAGATTCATTATCGCTTTTATCTGAACCATTCGTTTCCACATCAGTGTCATTTGAATACTAGTATTGTACGTCTTGCTGTACCGATTGTTTATCATCTGAAGCACTTCTTCCACTTCATTGTCATTTGTGTACCAGTATGGTTTTGGCTCGGTGCTATCTTCCATTTGTTGTTGCGTATTGTACATAGCGGTAAGAATGGGAGGTTATCGATAGGATTGCTTTTGTATATATACTTGTTTATGCTTGGTTGCAAAACGGCATTTTCCCCAAGTAAAACGTTCGTCATTAGTATATTGATCATCAGTAGCCAGTTTTAAATTAATGTCAGATATCTAGGGGAGGCGACTTGTTGCTGTCTTGTATGTTTTCATAAATTCATGAACGCGACCTGGATTGACTTGTCGTGCCAAAATAGAAATATGTTGCTTGTCTCCTGCAGATTTTTAAATACTATATGGTGGCCTGTCAGAAACATTAGTTTAAACAGACTAATGTTTCTGGTTTCTTTACCTTGATGGAATATATTTTGAACAATATATTCTTTATATTTTGAACTGACAAAATTAAAGCAACTTTAATTTTATCCCTGAGAGAGTAAAAGACGTTGAACGTATTGTTGAACGAGAAGAATGTTCCACAGCTCAATCCTGGCAGTTTTTTAGGGCCTTCCCCTACCCTACCGGGACAAATGCGGGAAGTATCATTAAACGATGAAATATCCAGGGAAGATGAAATGATCCCCCAAGTTAACCAAATACCTGTCTGGGATAACCAATAGATGTGAACAGTCATACATGAGTGGTACTAATTTTAGGTCAGCTTCTAATATCGCTTCCCTTCTAGGGCTAGCGCACATGCATAAATTGATTAGTGTTTCCTTGAAAAAAAGTGTTACTAATATTAACAACAACAGATCCTTCCTTGCCAAGTGTTATGTTGGTAAACGTAAATTAAACGAGTTGGAAATACTTGTTGAAATGCAGGAGATTGATATAGTTTGTGAAACAGAAACCTGGTTAAAGTGTTACGAGGCTTTATTTAGGTATGATTCACTTTACAAGTTTCGAAAACACAATACAGCGGTCAGAACGCCACACAGAACAATGAAAACATGACATCAAATGAAATATAGTATCGTACAAATTGAGAAATCTACAGGATACAAAACAAAATGGATCAGTTAAAAGAATATCACGGCAAGGTTTTTTATGATCTTTTCTGCTGCTTTGAAGAATGTCGAGACAAATTATATCACGAAGAGAAGCATACTAAGCATCGCAGCAAAGTTTTATGACCCGTTAGGTCTTATATCTTCAGTCACGCTTCGATTCAAACAAATTTTTCAAGAGTTGTGTGAGAGCAAAGTCGACTGGGATGAACCACTGAATGACGAATTCTGCGAGGAATGGAATCAAATTGTCCAGAAATTAAAAGAAGCCAACCACATGAGTATCCCAAGATGTTATTGTCCAGATTCGTTCGGTAGTGAAATAAAGTCAACTGAGTTGCATTTCTTTGGAGATGCGTCCGAAAGTTCTTACGGTGCGTGTGTCTACATACGATGTGAACAATCAGAAGGTATTCATTATGATCTAGTTGCTTCAAAAACAAGAGTGGCCCCAATGTCGAAGCAGACAATTCCTCGGTTGGTATTATTATCAAGTCTTCTAGCATCCCGGTTAACACAAAGCATGAAGAAAGCCTTTAATGACGTCAAGAGAATCGATTCAATCACCCATTGGTCTGATTCAAATGTAGTGCTTAGTTGGATACGAAATTCTAATTAACGAAGAATTCATACAATTTGTTAATAACCGATTATTAGAGATAAGAAGACTGGCATCCCCCTAATTATGGAAGTATGTACCTACCAAACAAAACCCAGCAGACATTGCTTCCCGAGGAACAACAGCAACCCAGCTTGTAGAAAACAAATTGTGGTGCGACGGTCCTAAATTTTTAATAAAGTCTAATGAACATTGGCCATCCCAACCTTGCAATTCCCACGAGGACGATTTCGAGTTAAAATTTCGAGTTAAAATCTCTGTAGTAAGCGTTACTACATCAATCGTTAAGGTCGCACAAATTCCAAATATTATGGAATTGATGGATACCTCGGAATACGTAGTCTGCTCGCAGACTGCATCCCGCTCCCCCGCGGGACTACAGTCTGCTGTCATTCGACGCTTATGCCGTACAAGCTACCGACGAAATATGATCGGCAGTTTTTCATTGGTTCGTTTCAAAATTATATTTGCATAAATTTGCTTAGCTAATTTCGAGACGAGTATACCGGTTTTACCGATTACATAAAGTTTCTGGGTGCTGTTGGGCAGACATTGCCACACAAAAGAGCATTTAACTTTTTGGGATGAATAAATTTGGTAGAATTTACAAATCTGGCATATTTTTTTTGCCAGTTTATGTTTCGATTTCGTTGTATTGTTTTGCTTGACCTTGTCTATTGTCTATTGACCTTGTTTACATAATATAAAGTTCTATTTAAAGTAACGCACCTGATTGGATAATAAAATTAGAAAGCCATTAAAGTGCTGAAGTGCACAATATTATATCTATTTATACGTCTACGTCACTGTGCAGCATTAGTGACAAATGGTCGCAGACTGTTATCCTTCCACCACGGGGGGGAAGGGACAGTCTGTGCGCAGACTACGGAATACGGCACTATTCGAAGATTACTTCGGGGTACAGCGTATGTGTTACGTTTCATTAACAATCTCAAACGAAACGCGTAGGGAATCTTGACAGCACGGTTGGACAGCTTACCTGTGGGGAAATCGACAGCGCAGAACTGAAATGGATTAAAGACATTCAGTATCCAATGTCCAAACAAGCAAATTATCGAAAAGTAAAAGAGTCCTTAAACTTGTTCGAAGATAAAGAGAACATCATACGATGCCACGGACGAATACAAGAATCACCCTTACCCTATGATACGAAATTCCCTATCCTTTTAGCGAGTGACCACTATTTTGCAAGATTATTTGTTCTTCGAAGTCACGAACAAGTCATGCACAATGGAGTTCGAGAAACCCTGACGCAAGTTCAATCCAAGTATTAGTTAACAAAGGGTCAAGTCGTGAAAAAGATCCTTTCGAAATGTACCACTTGTCGAAGATTATGTAGAAATCCCATTTACGGGAGCCTAGAAGCGCCACCACTACCCGTGTTCATCGTTATCGTGGAATGAGACAGTCTCGCGCGATTCACGTGTGACATGTTTGAGAGTTGAAACACACATTTGGATTTTAGAACAAAACTTGAAAATATTTAGCAGAACGTCTATTTATGTAAGTTTAATTTGTTTGTTGTAATTATTCAACTTTTTCTACGAGTGAAGATCTTAATTTACAACATGTTCCGGCTGGGGTTCGGGGTGTTTTGGGTGGGGTTCCGGCTTTTACAGACACCCCATGCATGTGAATGTCATTGAAGGTCGATCCTCCAGTTATCGTGTAGATGATTGTGATTGGTTAATTGCCGGGAAGACGAATGTATAGCGAATGTGAGCAGACGTTAGTGTAATCAGTAGGCTATATATTGTGTAATCTCTGCTCTGTAGATGTTTGTTAGAATTGAGAATTCCAGTGATACTTCAACTTCCAGGTAAGTCTGAAGTCTCGTTTAATTTTCTAATTTCTATGGTGTATTTCTTGTAAATGGGTATTTATAGCAAAGGTTCAGTTTTCATTTTTACTTCTGAGTGATTGAATTGAATGAGTTTACAGCAGATCGAATGTTATGTTGAATTTTGTTAAATGTCATGTTGAATACTACGTTGAATACCATGCGTACCTCACAGTGGTGTCATGATTTGTTTTGAATTTGAACGTAAATTGTCAAATAGTTTTATGGCAAGATTGAAACTTCGCAGAATATCTAGAAATGTTGCTCTTTTCACCATGGTCATCTTATTATATATATTGTATTCGTCCGAAGAAGAAAAGCGGATAGATCCCGTCCAAGGTATGAACGAACACGAACCCCGCCTGCGAGAACTACTTGTGGACGATTTTTGGGTGCCCGAGAAAGCTTTTATAAAGCTTCATGGAAGTGGAGGACCCGGCGAAATGGGCAATCCTGTAATTACCAGTTCAGAAGACAGTGATAAGAGAAATGAAGCTTATCGAAACTATGGTTTTAATCAGTATGTCAGTGATAAAATTTCATTGAATAGAACAATACCAGACACAAGACCAAAAGAGTGAGTAAATATTATATTATGAAAATTAAATCATATTAAAAGTGAGATAAACGCAAATATTTTGGAGATAGATCACTTTCTTGTGCCGCACGGAGGCTTGGGAATTCGGAATTCCCTATTTTTTATTTAAACTTTGTCTATGTTCAACTGTCCCAGGAAATAATTATATTATATTATAATATAATTATACATTATAATAATTATATTACGTTTTGCACAGCTTTCTGTATGGGTGGCTGAGTCTCACTTTTAATATTATTTTTTCATTGATATACAAATGCCTCATTGCCTCATAGAGGCTCAGGAAGGGCAGCATGTACACTGATATATACTATCTTGTATATCCCTGGCTGCTAGGGCAGTATTTAGTTACCGGATGTTACTCAAATGGATAGTATTCTGTTGTATGCAAGTCAGGGAACTGAGGGAAGAATGATAACCAGATAGTCTGAATAATGTCCGGAACCTATGGTGGTACCAAAGCTAGAATTCACAATATAATCTATTGTTTAGTGTGTGCTTTGTGTCTTTGTATAATTGAAAGCCCATTTTAGGGAATGTCAATAAATTCATATTCAAGACAAGTAAAATTGTCTGGTATTAGGCAGTAAAATAATAAAGTGCCGTGCATTGGGGAACATTGGGACCAATCTCGTTCCCCGAGCCTGCGATCCTTGGGAAGGAAACGAAGGCTCTGGGATAATCCATCTCAAAAATGAATATGATTGGTTGCTGGTATACAATGGAATGTTGCAATTTTGCAAAAATTAATTTTTAACCGTATATTTTTATATACAACATGGCGGCCGTTTAGGAGTGTACGAATATTGTTTTGGTTTTTCAGAGCTGTGCTATATACTAATACTACAAAGGAAATGCAAAGAAATGTATACTTAATGCGTATAATATCACAACAGTTAAATGGAGCGTGAAAACTTTACTCATATTTTGTGTTGTACAGGTTTTCTGTAGTTTTAATCTATACATAGTATACAGTACTGTCAGTACACTGTTCTATTTGACTATAATATCAAATATGTGCTATATTTTGCAAATACTATTTGTGTCAGAAATGGTTAATAACTTTATTAATTTGTCTTTGTGTTATCATTATTGCGAAGAACTAGCTAATAACTAGTTTCAATACATCCAATCTTGGGATTTACTGTTATATATTTTATTATTTAATGTATATATTGTACTGTGCAGGAGTATGTAATACTCATTTTGCAGTTCAAGTGCAGGAGTATGTAATACTCATTTTAACTTGTAGCATGTAACCCTTCCCTATATGGGTGCATATGAATCTTTTGCTGTTATAATTTATTTATAGAAGAGTTCAAAAAACCTTTATTCTCTAAATAAACCACAATTTCACAGGCAGTGATATCAACTTGTATTCCAGTCTGCATACACCTAATACATATAATGAATTCTTGGGTTTCACTATGGCATTTTGCACGTTCTGACGGGGGGTCAACCTAAAATGTATTGATGCTTATGCTGTACTGGAGTGAGCAAATGATATGAAATTGCATGTATTTGCCACCAAACACAAGGCCAACACATACAGTGAAAAATTAATTCACTCTGATGACTGTGTCTCGATTTAGAGTTGACCCCCGTCAAATTTATGACGTCATATGAAACACAATAATATACAGTATAATATTACAGCTAATTGTAGCATAAAGTATTTAATGATTTTAATTTATTGAGTAGTACAATATGCCAAATTGGCAATCCCTTCGTTAATCTTGTCCACACAGTAATTCAAAGAAGCCCTGCCCACTGTACGAGGTTGTATTAATTAGATTCTGTTCAAGAAAACGTCATAAAGCTTTTGATCCAAATGTTACAAAGTATGAATTCCAGATTGGGAGACCATATAAATATTTTTAATAAATTCATATACTTTTTTTAAGAAATGTTCTATTCACAAAAATATTAAATGATAGTGATCAGCCACTAATACCAGAATTCATTTTCATCAGCTTCCCCTGGTTATGACCCCCTGCAGGGAACCACCTAGGGTGCAGGTATAATTTTGTGATGAATGATAAAAAATTGCCCAATAAAAATGCCGAGCCATACTGAGAAATATTTTTATTACCATGGTCATGACAACTACCCTGTCAGTTTGATTGCAATATCAAAACTTGTTATAAAACAACACATACCTACTCTGAGAAGGGGAGGGGCAACAAAAACTCATATATTTTTCCTTTCCTATCCAATTCAAATCATGCTGGCCACGAAAACAATTTCCCGATTGCGATATGATAAATTGCCAAATGCCTGACAATTTGGGCTGGCGACGCCCCTGAATGCTACAATGATAGCAACCTCTATTGCTATTATATCTCCAACCTTGAATATCCTATTTAGACAGTAGTTAATGAATTAATGGCAGTAAGGGCTGGTCATAAAGTAACTGCTAGGGTGGGCTGGAGGTAAATCACAAATTTTGCCAATAAGTTTAGTGACCCATCTTAGGATGTAGATAAAAATTTCAAAGCCCATCTAATCTTGCCAAATTTATTTCATGACCCACCCACCCAATCTAAATTGGGAGAATACAATTTTATAATAATAAAAAAACTTGCAGGTATGAACATTGTAAATATACACTGGCACTGTAATGTATTGACATACATAATTCCACCAAGCTTGACCAACACATTCATCACCAATTACAATATACTGAGCTGCTCTCCAGTTGGTTGTAATTGCTGTGATTCAACCACTTGTTGTTGTTGTATAAAACAAAATACTGGCTTCAATAGCATCATTTGCATTTGATAATTTGGATAGTTTTGTTTACTTTTATTATTAATATCTTTATATAATATATAATTAACATGGGTTTTTGTTTGGTGGCCCAACCATGGACATACCAAAAAATTGGCGACCCATTGAAACTGCCCAAAGATTTTCCATGACCCATTCCAAATCACTCCAGCCCACCCTAGCAGTTACTTTATGACCGGTCCCTAATTAACATGAAGTCAAGTACATTTCCGGCCATTGATGAGAAATATTGTCCAGAAGTACAGAGAAATAACAAAATAGGGTGCACTAAAGAGCATTGTGGCTTAATGATCTAATGAGATAATTAACCAAAGATAGGTAGACATGCAGATGGACTGGTTAATCGATTCAAATACCAAGTCCAATACTTTTCCCTTGACGAGAACAAATTCTGGCGTTAAACAGCTTAAAATAACTAAGTAGGGCAAATTGAGGCACACTGCAGCTTAACTTGCTTTAACTCTAAGCCTGATTCACACGATGAAATAAGCATAAGCATAAGCAAGCGGAACCTTTGATGTGCATAAGCATAAACATAAGAAGAACAAATGTTGCGTTCTTCTTATGCTTACGTTTATGCACATCAAAGGTTCCGCTGCTTGTGCTTATGCTTATTTCATCGTGTGAACCAGGCTATATCCTATCCAGACACAAAATTTGGTTATAATTCAATAATTGGAAAAGTGCTGTTGCATCCCTAACCTATACTAAACTGCTGGCAAATATTAAAACATATAAGGAAAGCTATAAGGGCATTTAGAAAATATAACAAGGATTTGGTTTATAAACTGTTAATTTCTAGAGATGATAACACAATGTAAACATAGAATTCACTATATTCATATTTTTAATGATATGTTTTATAAGTCTAAATTCCTTTTAATATTCCTCTGATATACAAATCTTCTGAAAACTTTTATATTATCAAGGTTTATAACCGACTTAATATTAGAATTGAGACTCTTTTCAGGTATTTTACTGTCGTTCCAATTGAAGTGTTCCTCAAATATTGATCCTGATTCAATACATTACCTCGGGCTGACCAATTCATTTCATCAAGTTCCTCGAAATATCCATACACTTCCTAGTATAATTGTAAACCTCCTGTTGAATAGTTTGAATGCACCAATCACCCTTGTTGTTTGTGCAACTAACTAATCATAAATAGAAAGGAAGTGACCAGAAATGATCAAATTCTTGGAATTGGCTCTTTCACAGGAAGTGTATGAATATCTCGAGAAACTTGATGAAATGAATTGGTCAGCCTGAGGTATAGCTTGCGTAGCAGGCGTTTAGTGCGTGCGCGGGAGAAAGGGCGTCGTTTGAGGAAACGCCTGCTCAAATGCCTATGACAAATTAGTTTTCGTCCATTAAGGATGATTGACGTTGAGGGTACCTATTTATCAAGCCAGGATTCGAGCCAGGACTCGAGCCAGGACTCGATTCAGGATTCGAGCTAGAAATGAGGTCAGGTGATTTTGATGGATGAAAATTTACCAACAACGTTCTCACTTTTAAGGAACTTTCCTTAGATTTAGACTATTCGTTTACCAACAATGTGAAATGTCTAAAGAAATTTAACTGAATCTGAGGAATTGTTTATCGATAACGTAATTAAGAATGTTTCGCAAATGGGAAGTGAGAGAACTTATTTACCAAATCAATTTCCCGCCTTTTTCCACCAGAGTCGATAAAAGAACTAAAGAACGATATATTTGTATACAGACCTGTCAATCTCATCTGACTTTGGCTAACTGTAACTGGTTATTAGAGTCGGAAGACAGTGAATGAAATAATAGTCAATACCACTGCTGTTGTTTGTGTTTGATATATCGCACAAATATCGATATCCAAAAAAGTGAAATATCCGGCCAGTATTTTATCGAACTAAAACAGTTGGTATTGCTCATTATAAAATAACATGTATATAACGCGTTCTCTAATTGGTCGAAACCCTTGTTTGAATGGCAGGCCATCCAAACACGGAAATTTAAAGTGAAAGTTTTTTAAAGTGAAATTTTAACACGAAAAGTTGTTATTTTATAAAACAATTACTTTATGGTTTCCGTGTTTAGATGGTCTGATCCAAACACTTGGAAATGGTTGCCGCTCATTGCCACTTAGTATTCGTCAAAGAGTAGGGCCAATATCACCAAACTGTATTATAGCCAGCGTGGCCGGCTCTTCTAAGGCGGAGAATTTACCTTAGAAGAGCCGGCCATGCTTGCCAACTGTATTACCAAATATACCATTTCAATAATTACGTCACACATACTTTTTGGTCTTGGAACCTCGTTCTCATTGGTAAATCAGTTACGCAAGGTGATTGGCATAATTATCGAAAGGGTGCATTTAATTTGCTAGTGGTAGAACATTTAGCTAGTGTGCGTAACGTCTTATGAAATAAAAACATTGGGTAATGGCAATTCCCCGTATTTTCGCATTTTTTTAATCGAGTCCTTGACTCGAGTCCTGACTCGAGTCCTGGCTCGAGTCCTGGCTCGAATCCTGACTCGAGCAGTATATCTCTCATATTACATGCTTAAATTATAACTCTGTATGACTGCACATGTCTTTTGTGACCTTATACCAAAGCATTGACAAAGTTATTTTAGTACAATTATAAACATAGTTGCATATATATAGCGCAAGAGAAGTCGTACTTAGTCTTTGCTGAATTATTGTAAAAGATAAAACCGATATCGCTTTTAAATTAACTAAAAGGAGCAATAAT